TTTTTTTTTGCTAACATTCTGCCAAGGTTATCTTAAAGTTATGAACAAATGTTTTTGCATTAATGTTAATGGAACATTTGTTTAAAGTTGTCTGGTCTTTTAATAATATTAGCACAAAAACATTATTTATTCATAGTAACATTCTTATAATGTTTGTAAAATTATAAAAATGCATTAAACATTTCTAAAATTAGAAAATTTCAATAATATTTTTGTGTGTGTGATTTGTCTGGTTTAACTGCAGTCTTGACTGATTTATCCCACATTTAAGGTGACTTAATTGCTCTGAGTTTGGGTGTGTCTAATGAGACTCAATGATGGCCGTATATACAACTGGAGCTTTATTCATAATTAAAGGCAATACAGGCTTAATCAGCAGCCACCAGCTCCCTGTGCTCACTGGAGCCCGTCTCTGTTGCTATGCAACTCCAGGAGCCATAAGCAAGCAATCTGTGCTTGATACATTTATTAGTCTTTGTGTTGAGTCTTTATGAGTAAAACACTACAGGTGTATTTTATACCTTTAATACATTCAATTTTGAGTGCCTTTTCTTGCTTGAAAGACAGGCCAAAAATGTCATAGCCCAGAAGGAATAATGCATAGAGAGTGTTTCATTTTAGATTAAGTGAAAAGTGAGTGAAATTTATTTAAAGAGAATGAATCCACAAGTAATCCACACCACTCAAGTTCATCAGTTAATATCTTGTGAAGTAAAAAACAAAGAAACAAATCCATCAAGATGTGTTTAACTTCAAACTGCTGCTTGCAGCAAAACTATGAGTCCATAATATTGCAAACATGAATTCTAGATTTCTATTTGAAGAGTTCCAATGCAAAAACCTCTAAAAGCCATCTTGGTCAAAAATGAGATAATGATACTGAGTGAATGCTCTCCACACATAGTATATGTTCATCAAGTACTTTCACTTCAAATGTGCTAAATCCCAGCCTCAACCCATTCAGAAGTACCAGTACTTACACAGAAACCTATACATAGTAGCCAGAAAGAAATGCAAATTTTAAAGAAAAACATCAGATGTACTTAGAGGCTTTTGCATCTGAACTCTTCATTTATCTTCTAAAACCAAATTTACACTCAAGTGGCACAGAAGCTTCACCTGATGTGTCATTTAATTGAGGTGTTCAACGCTTCTCAGAGGAGGCATAAATGCATAGCATAAACTGCCTTTGATACTAAGTACTGATGTGGGTCCAAGCTGCATAATTTAGTCTGGTATTTATGCGGCATTGTATCTTTACACTGAATTTTGAGCAGGCAAAGAGTAGTTTTAACGCTTCTGTGTAAAGACACCTTAAATCTGAAAAAAAGAAAGAATGTAGATAATCCACTCTATAACTTTAGTATAGGTAGAGATATAGGTAGTAACTCACTAGTAAGTAAACTTCTTGAAATATTTATCTCCAAAAATGTTGACACTGTTAGTTCCTCTATTCCTAATGATTTAAAAGTACTGAGAAATAAATCTAAAACACATGCATAAGAATGTTTAAAATAAATCTTAAGATATGACCCAGTTTAAGGAGTGGTGCACATCGCCCTCGAGTGGTGAAAATGGTAACTCCTTTAGGCTTGTATTTTCCAATGAAGGACTAGCTATACATTTCCCCATAGCTTGCTTTATTCATTTATCTTGTGTTAATTCTGCAATTTAAGCATAACTCTGAGGCAAACTTTGATGTTATGACAGAGCGATTCCTGAGAGTTTAAATTCGTTTTAAAAACATGAAGGTTAAAGTTTTTTATAGCATTAGGCATATATGCAGATGGACAGTAATACATTTGGTCTCAATAATAATAATAATAATAGTAGTAGTAATTATATATATATATATATATATATAGTAAAAGAAAACAAGTAGACAGAATAGAAAAAAAGATTAGGGAACGCTAGTGTTAGTGTTTTTTTTTTTTACTAAAACAAGTCAAAAGAATAGAAAAAGAATAGAGAATGCTTGAGTTAGAGGGTCAAATGAAGATAATACACAAACATAGTAATTAACAATCGTACAAGCGTAACAGCTGGTCTTTTTTATGTTGATAAACGTGAATATATCGGCTGGTTTTTGTTACAGCTTCCATAGAAGGGCTGATCCAGGATCTGCTGACTTAACCGTGTCGCGTTCGCGGTAAGAGCGCGTCGAAATCTCGCGATACTTTCGCACGGTGCCCGCTTGACCCTGCCCTGTGTCTCGCGCAGCTCCGTATATAAAGACGGAGGACCGGAGAAGACGGACGGCCGGGGAGCAGCAGCCCTGGGACTGTGAATAAGACCGTAAACAGCTGTGTTTTTATTTCCAGAAACTTTAACACGTTTTAGATGTTTTCGTGCTTTTTTTAAATGCTTCTTGGGGTTCTTGCTTGATACTCGCGGTGTGTTTCTCCCCTCACTGCGCTCATAATGGCGAGCTCGGCTAACTCGAACCAAGTGGTAAGGATCAGACAAACGGCACTCATACTCCAAATCACACCCGTGTCCAAGCATTGTAGTTAGACGCAGCGCATTTTAACCAAACCCACACTTGGCTTTTACAATAATAAAACATTAGACACACGTACACATCAAATCTGATCCATTTGCGCTCTCTTTAGGGAAGTGTGTGTGTGTGAGTGTTTGCTGAGAGGGAGAAAACTGGCTCGGATCCATTGCAGTAAGCTTTACTATGTGTTGGACAAAACGCATTAAAGTGTTAAACTAACACGGACTTTGTTACATTTGGCCTCGGCCGTGTAAAAAGCTGTGTTTGAAGCGGAAAATAAAATCTGTTGGCTCGCATTCTTCGTGTAACTCGACATATTGCAGTCTGTTACTAAAGCACCCCTAGAGTCTGAAATTATGCCAAAACAAATTCAACAGATCTGCGTGGATTTCGAGGAAGAGCCGAGTTGTGTTGTTGTCCTGCGTGTTACAACGAAAGCCTTTCTAAGCTACATCACCACAATCTTATTTTAACGAATTGTACATGACCCCCTATATATTACCGAGTCCCATGCATATAAACCCAAATATGAGCCGGTTTTCACAATAAAGCAGGCTGACGGAAGCCCGTGAGCAGAGCGCTACAGTGCAGGCGAATGCGGTTTCATCATGGCTGCCGCCGCCCTTCTCTGTCTGCGTCTCTCTGCGCCTCTGACCCTCCTTCTTTCAGACGCCCGGTTTTATACAGCCGTACCGGCGCTCTAATATAGTCTCGGCCCGGGATGGGAAGGTGCTACTCGGCGCTACGTCACCGGCTCTGCATATAAACCCAGGCTGCGCTTTAAACAGTGAGCCGCCGGACACGACGCAGACCGCGAGCCTGCTGCCTGGTTTCCTGTTTTTTAGCAAAACAATGTATTAGTGGGGCCATAGCGATGGTGGTTTCTGGGTAGAGAAAGACGTTTGCTTTCTCATTCCGGACTAGCTGCATCCGGAAGCGCATGTGTTTTGAGTAGTGTTTATTTCTTCAGTTTCGCCGTGGTGCACGCGCTGTTTATGGACGAAGCGGATGCATCGCGCTCCGATATAACGAGCAGCCGTCATGGACACGTTACCTGATCGCTATATGCGTCTATTTGTGCTTCGACTCCGATCCGGTTACCAAATGGTGATTGGGGAGTCAGACTGAAAT